ACGGCAAGATCCGGGGGTTCTTAAAATGTATCACCAGGTTACATTCTTCGGATGTCTTTTGTTAAATTACAGTTTCCCAAAGGAACGTGGACAGTTAAATGCAGTGGCAGAATTTATGTGCACTTGGCACTCATGAAAATATATTTCCTCCTGTATCATGATCACTCAGCAAATCGTATGTTATAGTGTTCTGACGTTAATGCCAATCTGGCAGTGCTGTATTACACGAATCTGCCGTTTTATAGAAACAAAAAAAAAGTTCGGTTTGGAGGCTTAAGGATTATAATTACACAACATTAGAGGAAATTAAGTCAAAGCAAAATGGACGTTCGGGTATAGCAATGAAGTTCAATTTACAACATAATCAAGGTACAGTTGTTCTGACCTAATACTCATTAAAAAACACAACTTCCCGCGAATGAAAACGAAAGATGTCAAACACTGAGCATGGATAATGCCATTGGGCAGGTGCAGATTTAGTTGTTTCTGAACAATACTTTTGCCCTAACGATCACCAACGTAATACACTGCATTGGTGATGTGTTCGCGTTTTTCGGATTAATCCAATTCAATCTGATTATTTGGCCGAGACAAATTTCGGATTGATCCGAAAGTATGGCATCATGTGCAACGGCATCACATATTACCCCCAATTCGCACGGTTGGCTACGTACAGTGCAAAAGGAGTTCAGCATACATACATACCGTACATTACACAACTTCTCTGCTTTCCCCACTATAACTGGTCTTCCGTGGCATTGGGCTATGCCACTTTTTGTTACGTCGAATAAACGTTTCAATTTTTAAACGATAGTGAAAATCCAAAACATGATCCGAATTGCTTGAAAAATCCTAAACTCGTATTTTTTTAATTGGATACAAGTTCCACATAGTATGTGTCCCTCTAGATATTGTTCATTCCACAGATGCTGGGCTACTACTACCTGTGCCCCGAGTTGATATTGAAACCCCAGGGGCACAAACTCAGGAGCTCTTAACCGAGGTCAATCGGATACTTTTGAGCCCATCAGTAGATTTTTTTTTCTTAATGGCATCTTAGGATGTATTGAATTATACATTGTCTAACTTGGTAAAGGTTTTGTGTAGTTACTTTTTGTATTTGCAGTTTTAGATACACGGTTTCACCTTTAATTCGCACCTCCGATGACCACGGTTTACTACCTACGGTGAAATGAAGTTCAACATGCATACATTTGTTGTGTACAATTTAATTCAGGAATAGGTATGGTTTTATAGTGTGTTTGTCGGGTTTTTATTTATTTTAAAGCACATTTGGATGGGTTTGTTGTGGAAGGTACCATATGACCTTACATATATCAAAATCGAATTGCTATGTGCGCAAAATTACGGTTATTTTGTTTTTTTTCCATGGCAATAAGGTAAAACCTCTGTAAGCCAGACTCGAGTGAGCCAGAATTTTGTGTAAGCCAGAGAAGGCTACCCAAAAATAAATACACGATTTGCTTGCGCGTTTGTGCACTCCCAATAGTAAAGCTGCAAACGTATCTGATATATGGAAAGCCCCGGTTTTCCACACGCTCTAATAGCCGATTCCCCTCTAACGTTATTTCACATTTAATTTACGTTAATTTTACAAATAACTAATATTATATTCTCTTTTGGATTTATAAAGCGCCTTTCACCAAGGCGCTTGACAACGCTCACCGACCACGGTACAAAATGTCAAGGTAAGGGATGGGAATCGGGTCGTGACTATAGGGGTGGAGGGAGTGAGCTGGACGCTGCGGGCGATGGAGGCGTTAGGGGTGTTAGGGTGGTGCTGTTAGGGGTGGTGGAAGAGGCAGGGGAAAGCGCAGTCGAGAAAAGAGATAGGTCCTGAGGACAGTGCGAAAAGAGGAAAGCGTGGGGGAGAGTCGGATGTGGAGAGGAAAATATGTCCTGTGAACCTGAAACCTTACACTTCACTCTGTGCTGATGATTAGCGATTCGAATTTTACAGCAATAACTGCGTTTGCAGTATTTAAATTGTAATTACAAAATTGTGTTAAGAAATTGTCTTGGATCGCTATATATGAATGATATTGACTAGATTTCAATACAATTAAAGTATGGTATTCATATTGATGCAATGATTGCAAAATTCCAGAAGCCCATTGCCAAAATAATTAACCCCCATTAAGTCTGGCTTCGAGAGGTTTTACTTTAATTTGGTCAACAAAGTAATCTTGCTTCTGGCATACATTTTAGGCTGCTCACCATAAGCCATTGCCATACATATTGTATTCTATTGTTAAAATGTTTTCACTTTAATATCGGTGGAGACTGTTGCGACTGGGCATCTATGACAACTGGACATCCAGTCTATATATATAGAGATTCTGATACGCCTTATCAGAATAGATAACACAAATGTAACACTGATGTTTTATTGTTGCAGTTGTAAACATTCAATGGGCAATCGACAAAAGAATGTACCATAGCGGTAACTATTTACTTATTTTTCAGAAAGTACATTCATGCAACTACAGTCAACACAATAAATGCCTGTTTAGTGCATATGCTGATCATAAATACCGTACATGACATATCAATCTTGCCCACATTCAAGTGTGCATTACTACTATCACATCAATAGCTATACACTTACCACACAATGTATATTTACACACACATGTAAAAAGATGATATTTCATTGGTTCGCAAGACCAACATTCATTCTGAATCAGTGGTGGAACTTCCACATTCCTATGCCGAGGAGTGGTGGAACAGAAGCACATTGGTCCTCGTGCTGCATTACAAACCCAGTCTTGCGAGTTGAAATTCCAACCAAGGCTTAACGATCGTGGTGAGCGATACCAGAACCTGCCCATCGCACCCACGCGCCACTATCCCCCAAAATGAGCGGCACAGTGAAGTGTGGTCAGCAAGAAATTGCAGGGGTGCGCCTTTGCTTTTGCTTATATGTATAGACATAGAAAGCACGCGTAAAAAATGAAATAATCCAGCCTTTGGGATCATTAACAAAAGTGTCTGGAGTCCGGCATGTGCCACATTCTTTATTTATCATTGGCTCACGAGTCTCCGCTGTATTTGTGTGTGTGTGTATGTCCTTGTGATTGACACGGCATTGGAGGTCTTCATCCAGCAGTGGATTGACAAAGGGTTTTGATATATTGTGTGTATCGTCATATCATATTGGACCCCCACTTATGAATAAATCTTGCATTACAATACGTAAATCAACGTCAAACAAACATTGTTATCATTATATTTTTCGCATCGTTCGTAAAAAATCCCACTTTTGCTACTCATTTCCCTTGATATAACTAGAAGTAAGCAATGGCTTTTGGCTGAATACATTTCTAACACTGTATGAATTACATCAACTATTAACATTGCAATTGGCTTGTTTATTTTATAGACTGCGAAGAGCTTTTGGAGACCATGTACTTCATGAGCGTATTGGCAGCGGGGCAAACCCAGATCTGTATTCGGGTCCAACACACGAGCTGCCGTTGCCTTTAAAATGATTTGTGAGTATGAAGGAAATTGGCAGGGCTGACTCTGTAATGGCACAGCATGTGCGTTATACCGCTGCACGTTGTGAAACTCGAAATCTCAGCCAGCCATTTAGTCAACGGGACACGAACAGAATTGGCACGGTGGTTGCTGCCCTTGATGTCATCTCAACAAATGCACTCAGTTGCCCTCCAGACCAAAGTAGCCAGAGGGCTTCGTTGTAGACATGTGGGGTGCTTAGCATAGTATAGGCGATGGCATTGACGATTCGATATTAACTGCACATGGACTAGAGTACCATTTCAAATGCAGTCTGGGCTCCTTTTTTAGTCCATTGTTTGGTGGTGGAAACTCCAACAATAAAAAAAACATACAAAAACAGAGCACAAAAAATTTAATAAAGAACAAAGGTGATTAATGGGTCTGCTTCCCCATTCTATGTCACCCCACCTGCCCAAATTGGGGTATGAAGCCTTAGACAGCCGAATTCCCTCCGAACTTAACATAGTTTGGCAATGTGAGACTCGTGGCGTTAACCAACACAAACAAGAAACCTGCTTTTGGTGTTGGTGAAAGATATTCAGTAAACGGAACAATCATTAACGTTGAATAAAAAAAGCAGAGCATTAAAATACCAGTTAATTCAGACGATAACGCCACCAACAAACAACACAAGAACGCTTAATCTGTTTATTTTATTTTTAACCCGAAAATTAATTTAAATACGCCCAACAAGGAACTAGCACACGACATTCCAATGAAATCTCTAAATGTGGCTTTGCTTCTGGCTTCAGAACATTACGAGAACACAGCGAATGCTTTCTGCAGCCAGAAGTATTTGCATCATCCCACTGGAACAAAAAGGGCTGTTTGGTGTTTGCGTAAAGTCCGGGCTCAATATAAGAGAGCAGATTGCAACATTTGTTGTCTGGGCATGGACCTGTGATATCGCCTCACTCCTGTGTTCCACGTCCAACGATCTCGTGCGGGACATTCGACCTCACTGAAATTGTTCCCAATGTGTCTCAACAGGTTCGAGTGGAGCCTCTGAGCGAATCACCTTGTGCAATCGTCCGTGACCACGCCATTGACTTGCAGTTCCCCTGCAGGAGCGCTTCACCGGGGCTATGAGCACGGTTGGCTACTGACCATGCTCACCTCCAATTAGCACGGTTGGCTACTGACCATGCTCACCTCCCAAATTAGCACGGTTGGCTACGTACGGTGCGAGCGAGCGTGCGTGCGAACACAGTGGATATCTCCTGGGTAACTGATGACGAGCCAGGCTGTGACCACCGCCGCTTTCCTCCAGATTGCGATCTCGCTTGGGCGCCGGGGTCCTACCCTCGCAGCGCCAAGGTCACGGTGGCCCAAACGAGCAACTGTAAGTAAGGGCCCAGACAAGCCTCCGCTGCTGCCTGGTCGTCTCTTAAGTTTAATTCATTTCCTTCCCCCCCCCCCCCACCCCCCCGCTGGACAGAGGGCCCCCCCCCCCCCCCACCCCGCATCCTACTTCTGGCTGCAGGAGCTCAGGGTGACGCTGCGGTGCCTCTGCGGAGTGGCGCTGAGCCGGTCGGTGGCGTTGTGGCCGGCGCCCGTCGTTTCCAGGCGACGGAGCGCGCCCGCACAGCACGGGATGCAGTGCGCGAAGTCGTAAATGAGATGCCCGCTGAAGAACATGTAGATCCAGGGGTTGGTGCAGCTGTTGAGGCTGGCCAACAGCATCACGATGGTGAACGCCGACCCTGGTTTGTGAAACGAAGAGAAAAAAAACGATCAACGAGGAGAGAGAGATTGGTGAGGTAGCCGACTGATTTTGAGTCTTCACGGTCAAAGTTAAAAATTGAGGTGCTCCAACGTACTGCCACGACGGATTAGGGATCCGACTGTCATGGCTTTGCCAGGATCAGTCTCTCTTTGAGGCAGCTGCTGTCATGCGACATATGTACGTCTTCCCAGAACATGAAGAGTTCTGGATTTTTGTCAGTTGTGTTTTAATCATACACCACTTGAGACATTTACATTTAGTCTTACACCTTCTGGCATTGTGAGATATTCTTCTTGCTAGTTCCATGATGAGTTCCAGTTTCTTGTGCCTCGGAGTGGCAACTCTGCTATGGATGAGCCTAAAACAGAACGTGCGACGGTATATTTATCCCTCCACATTTACAAACACGCATGTTAACTAATTTGGCTGCAATAAATGTCCACGTGATAAGCCGCTTCGTTTAGCTATAATTTGTGATAGCCAGGTCGCTTCTGAAAAAGAGCTATATAGCTCAGTGGGCCTTACCTGGTAAAATAAAAAAAAATACTTTATCGAAGTTTAATAATATTTTTTTATAGTATTTCTCATCTAAATATGCAGTTGAGGTTGTGCAACAAAAGTAAAATTTCAGGATTTTTTTAGAGGTCACAAGATAAACTGTTGAAATATTTCGTATTGTTTAAGTTATAACAATTGCCTTGATAATAAAAAATAATATAGTCGTATTTATAATAAACATTTGGTACCAAATTTCACCTTTCTACCCCTTATATAACATCATAATTTACATTAGTCATTCAATAAAGCTATACGGTTTAAATCCTCACAGATTCTGAGTTTAAAACTTTGAGCTGCCACCTGAGATTAAACGGGATTATGCAAGTGTAAAAAGTGTGTCTCATCCTGATCATGAGTGACGAGACGAATTAAGTCTTACATAAGTTGGAGTTTGTATTTTATTAAGTTTTCTTAAGCTGTCAGAGGTATAGTTTATGTCCATTGTATGCTGAAGAGTTCTGTGTAAGCTGAAGGGTTCTGTATACACTGAAGGGTTCTGTGTATAGTGAAGGGTTCTGTGTATAGTGAAGGGTTCTGTGTATAGTGAAGGGTTCTGTGTATAGTGAAGGGTTCTATGTAAGCTGAAGGGTTCTGTATACACTGAAGGGTTCTGTGTATAGTGAAGGGTTCTGTGTAAGCTGAAGGATTCTGTATACACTGAAGGGTTCTGTGTATAGTGAAGGGTTCTGTATACACTGAAGGGTTCTGTGTATAGTGAAGGGTTCTGTATACACTGAAGGGTTCTGTGTATAATGAAGAGTTCTGTGTAAGCTGAAGGATTCTGTATACACTGAAGGGTTCTGTGTATAGTGAAGGGTTCTGTATACACTGAAGGGTTCTGTGTATAGTGAAGGGTTCTGTGTATAGTGAAGGGTTCTGTATACACTGAAGGGTTCTGTGTATAGTGAAGAGTTCTGTGTAAGCTGAAGGATTCTGTATACACTGAAGGGTTCTGTGTATAGTGAAGGGTTCTGTATACACTGAAGGGTTCTGTGTATAGTGAAGGGTTCTGTATACACTGAAGGGTTCTGTGTATAATGAAGAGTTCTGTGTAAGCTGAAGGATTCTGTATACACTGAAGGGTTCTGTGTATAGTGAAGGGTTCTGTATACACTGAAGGGTTCTGTGTATAGTGAAGGGTTCTGTATACACTGAAGGGTTCTGTATACACTGAAGGGTTCTGTGTATAGTGAAGGGTTCTGTGTAAGCTGAAGGATTCTGTATACACTGAAGGGTTCTGTGTATAGTGAAGGGTTCTGTATACACTGAAGGGTTCTGTGTATAGTGAAGGGTTCTGTATACACTGAAGGGTTCTGTGTATAATGAAGAGTTCTGTGTAAGCTGAAGGATTCTGTATAAACTGAAGGGTCCTGTGTATAGTGAAGGGTTCTGTGTAAGCTGAAGGGTTCTGTATACACTGAAGGGTTCTGTGTATAGTGAAGGGTTCTGTGTAAGCTGAAGGGTTATGTATACACTGAAGGGTTCTGTGTATAGTGAAGGGTTCTATGTAAGCTGAAGGGTTCTGTATACACTGAGGGGTTCTGTGTATAGTGAAGGGTTCTGTGTATAGTGAAGGGTTCTGTATACACTGAAGGGTTCTGTGTATAGTGAAGGGTTCTGTGTCTGCTGGAGTTTTTTAGTCGTCAACCTCATTATTTATTATTCACATCGTGCCTCGCATGGACAGTATCTGGAGGCAGCAGAGAGAATGATGATGTTAGATCATTACGGGAGGATCACTCTTTACAGAAGTGCTTGCAGACCAAATGCAATGTTCAAATAATATATCGGAAATACCCACCACAAACACAATAAACAAATGTGAAAGGCAAAACTGTGTTTGAGAATACTCTCTTTTTCAACGGTTTTATTTTTTTATCCACTTCATTGGAGATATTCATACGCAATCTGAAAATAATGTCTTTAACTTAGTCTAAAATCGATGGATTGTGGATGCATTCATAATAATTACGGGTTGTTTATTCCACAACGTTCGCGACATCCTCCAGGATTCTATACACAATGTAACACGGTTCTGTTGTCTCTCGAGAGCTGCTTTCATTTGGGATTCTGTATTTTTGTCAATTTTATTATCATGCGTCCAAGCATCATTACGGGACGAGGTATCAATTTGAAACTCGTGCCAACCAAAAACTTTTTATCGCATACTAAGAGCATTGATAATTTATTTTAAATTCTCAGAGCAGCTATTTAACCAAATTAAGTGCATTTTATTTTACTTGATGTTGTTCTTCCCTTCTTCTTGTGCAGCTTTTGGTGACCACGGTGAAGCTATCAACAATTCGCCCAGATTCATCACAAGTGGCCACCCAGATCTGCTCCCAGGATCTCAGTGGAACCCACGCAGCGCTATGAGCTACCTGACTGCCTCCGGGTGCCCATTTCCTAACCGTGCCGCGTGATTCTAAATACAACGATTGCATTTGAATAAATAATCAGATAAAAAAAGGGGAAAAGCCCTATTATTATATTTGGTACTGGCAAAGGAGGTCCAATGATGTAGATGCTTACCCCGAGCCCTCATTACTTTGATAGTGCATTGTCTTTGAGCTTGTACGCCTTTTGGCGTCCTCTGGTCGAGCACCAATTGAGACGAGGCTCAAAAGAAAGCCGTCCCTGGTGTGGACCAATCAGTTTCAAGGACAATGCATATATTATCATAGTGTGTTTTTTGTTTGCATTTTGACTGCAAGTATTGTGGTTAATGCAGACATGAATCCTTGTAAAAAGGTTTCAGTTTTGTTGCCCCAAAAAAAGGGGAAAAACTCTATTATATATAAAAAAAGATATTCAAAACGTGTACGGTGGATGCAGGGAAGCCGCTGTGGTGTCATGGTTAGCACACGGCACTTGCAACGCAGAGAGTCGCCTGGCCGATGCAATATCCCGGTGTGGCAGTTTAACCATGGGGGCGGCTTTCTTAAATCCACCCAAAAAGAACCAAGAAGACGTATCCACCCAGAAGTTATGAATGAACACGCCTCAGTTAGCCGGTTGGCAGGTCGCATTTTTGTATTTATTGCGTGCAACTGTGAACAACAGCCACTGCAGACATGAGTACATCTGATCGCCATAATCATTGGTTTACTGCAGCCCAAAGACTTCGTCCCTGCGAGGCGAGCGGTGAGGTTTAGGAGATGTCCCATGTCTGTGTGTGTGCTCGGCATTTGAAGGCCTGAAGACCATAATTGGTGATTTTGTCGACAATGTGTATCAATAAAACACGTAGGCTTTCGCGACCAATATTATTCAAATCACTGCACCTGAAATGAGTAAAATGATGACGTCACCCTGCTGTTCTATTTAAGACCGAGAGCAAGTGAGGGCTTATCCATTCTGGCGAATTGCCCGATGATGCTGGATGTAATTACCAGCGAAACGTCGTACAACTCAAACTGTAAATGTTGTGGATTCACTCTTCAACACACCGGTGGGCTAAAAGTAGTGAACTAATTGTCTTTTGTCAACGTGACACTTTGTTTTTGCTGATTGGCCGTGTCGGGTGTTGGAGGGTTACGACACATTTATAAATAACGCGATCTAACCCAAAAACCTTTATTATGAATAATGTGTATCAAGGGAGGCAGTGAAAGGGAGCTGCTGCCCCGGGGGCATGTTCTGGCATTGTGTTGGGGAGAGTGGTGTGGGTTCTCCGGTGTCTTCCTAGGCTTCTTGATCTTCGTGGAAGAGTAGACCAAAATACTTCCTTAGAGGGACTCTCTGGAGTGCTCTCCAATTGAGGGTTTTCTAGAAGTGGTTCTGTCAGCAAGAAATTGCAGGGATGCGCCTTTGCCTTTGCATATATGTACATATATAGAAAGCACGCGTAAAAAATGAAATAATCCAGCATTTGGGATCATTAACAAAAGTGTCTGGAGTCCGGCATGTGCCACATTCTTTATTTATCATTGGCTCACGAGTCTCCGCTGTATTTGTGTGTGTGTGTGTCCTTGTGTTTTCGTTTGCAAATGTTTGCCTTCCCTCGGACAGTTTTTATTATTGCTGCAGCACTGGAGTCATTACAAGGTTGTTTATTTTTCATGTATGTTTTTGTGTGTTTGTCCTCTTGCTTTTGTTAATGTGCTCTCCTCTGCTATGTTGTACGTGTTGTGCAACGCCGATACACGCAGGGTGTCATGCAATAATTATTTTGTGCAAAATTCCCCTGTGCGGCATAAAAAAAATGCCACCATCATCACCCCAGGAAAGCGTGATTCTCTGCGGCACCACTTCCGAATTCCACGTGGCAATTTCTGCAATAGAGCGCACATGTTTTGCACCACGCGACTTGCTCACGATCACACATGCGTATCGTGCTGTCTCTATTAAATACACCTGGCGATTGGACGAAGCTAAAACGTGACCCGAATCTGTATTTTTGGATTCTGGAGCAGTGAAACACAGCCATGCATCTGACACCGCAATCACGGCAAATATTGAGTTCAGGTCATGTGTGCAATGTCCGCTGCATAGATTCTCCCCTAACTCTCCAAGTGGGGCTTATGGAAACACAAATTCTCGTCGTGAAAGTTCACCTGGTCTCTGTTAAGAACATGTGGTTCTGGTAATTGAGAAAACATGCACCGGACGACACTCTTGCCTGAACTGAACTCTCCACATGCCACCGCTTAATAGCATTATCGTACTTCGTGGATTTTACAGGCAAATTAATTGCTGTACTCAAATACAATAGTACACACGTACTGCCCATCGACTCAACACTACACCTCCGATTAGCACGGTTGTCTCCGTACGGTGCAAACGAAGGTCAACATACGTGCGTGAATACAAAGTGGTGCCCATATTTTAGTGTACTTGGAGGGATGATTGGCCGAGTCCCCCCCACCCCCGACCAGGACTTGAACTCACAACGTGCCCATTGTGAGCCGCTCGCTCTACCCACGAGTCACCCGTGCCCGCCCGGCTCGCCAGCAGTCAACAGAACACTGAATAAACACAACTGCGTGATGACATCGGGTCTCATCTGTAATTGGTATCACTGGCGGCAGAACGCGATGCTTTCCTGCGCAACTTTCACGACGCCGTTTTAAAAGACTCGATACTGCCATGCGACACATTACAGAGCGCGCATCATCAGACGGGCGTCCGTTCACGTCCAATACAGGTTTAGTGCCTTGAAATAAATGCACTTTAACATTATTGGACACTTCCATTCTCTCTCCTTTGCGCAGCTTGTTCACTGGCGAAAGCAGTAATTACCCGCAGCCTGCGAGGCATTGGCCAAAGACTGACGAGAGGGCAATGGTGCCCTTACAATTAATGTAAGGCGGCTTTTGCATAAACACTAAATACGCCACTTGTGCAAATTGATGTAGTGTTCATTGCGAGGAATTGAGCATTTAATATATATTATCATGATCGTGTTCGTTGTAATATGCCAGAGCTTTGATCTGAGAAGGAAATCCATTTACAGACATAAATAGCATTATTTTTAAATTACAGATCTCACTGTTTTATTGGTATATATATTTTGTATATGCATGCAGCATTCATTTTTGAGAAGACCATAATCTACTCAATTCAATTATTAAATAATTTCAGGAATTTATTTCACTCTCGACGTCATCGCATGCAGAGCACGTGTGTTTGTGTACGTGTGTAAGGTGTTCGTATTATTGCGATATTTTTTGCAGAGTTCACCTGGGGTAAAGGTGGCTAATGTGGGGGGAGCAATGGCTTGGTGGTTCGTGTGAGCATCTTGAGATACTGTTGCATGTATACACGATATGAGCACAAATTGTAATTTGCATCGCACTGCAATATCCAGAGACTTGGATTCAATTTCTGGCAAAAGTCATCCTTGGCGAAATATAACTTAACTGAAGCCTCGCCTTCCCACAGTCGACTTAACCTAAAACGTGCAACTGTTAAGCGTGACCAGTATTGGGGGAAAGGGAGTCCAAAAACGTCTCTCCTGTGTGCGGTGTTGGCCCCCAATGCAGATGCACAGCCATCTTATGTCAGTCCACTGCTGGACGAGGGCCTGCACCCCCGCTGTGCACCCCGTGGAGGTTACTTCACCATACTTCACCGCGCTGGTCAGTGCAGGTTGGTCAGCGCAGGGCGCATAGATGCAAGCGCACAGGGGTACAGTATAGCAATAGATTGCATTGCCATCTGCTGCTCATTGACAGCTGTAGGGCGCCAGGGTGGCGAAATGTTAATTACCTTGCCTGGTATACAGGTTGTGGAGTTGATACCGACCCTGACGCCTGTAAATTTGGAGTATGCACGTCTCTATCACCGTGGTCACGTGGATTTTTCTCCAGTCCCTCAGATTTTTCCCCTCTATATTTAGAATCGACATGCGTTTAGAGTATTTGGCTGCTATATATGTCCAAGTGATAAGCGACTTTGTTGAGCTATCATATGTGGCCAGGTCGCTTCTGAAAAAGAGTTATATCAGAATCAGTATATTTATTTATAACTGAGGAATTCGATGAGCAATAAAGTTATTTTTCACAGGTGTCCAGTAGGGCCAGGTCAGAACGTTACAATAACAAACTAAATTTCTAGCTCAGTGGGCCTTACATGGTAAAATAAAAATCGTTTATCGTAGTTTTTATAATATTCGTCATCCAAATATACGGTTGATGTTGTGTAAAATAGACAAAATTTAAGCGAAATTTTAGAGGTCAGAATCAGAATATTTATACTGGAGGAATCGGATGTGCTGTAAAGCTATTTTTCTAGATGTCCAGTAGGGGCAGCTCAGAACGGTAGTTTAGTTTAGCCCTTGCCCAATAGTCCATGCAGGCTACACGGAGAGGGCACCTTCATCTTGTTCGCGGTACATTCCATTGCCAACGCACCCGGTGCCAGCGTACCTTCAAAGGGAGCAGACCCGTCCCACACGGACCACATCTGGACGAGGAAAAACGGCGTCCAGCAGAAGACGTACACCACGATGATGACGAAGGTCATCTTGGTGGTGCGGATCTTCGCCTTGGAGATGTTCCTCACCGAGCTGACCCGCGACGCTGTCGCGGTCGCCGCCGGCGCCACCGCCGCGGACGACCGCGCCGGCGTCCCCTTCGGCGGCGGGCGGCCGTCCCGCCCGCCGCGCCTCTCCATCTTGGCCCGCATGTTCCTCCAGATCTCGGCGGTGATCATGCCGTAGCACCAGAGCAGCACGGCGACGGGCGCGACGAACACGGCGACGGCGGTCCACGTGACGTACGCCTTGAGCCCCCACGGCTCGACAAAGGCGGCCCAGCAGTCGTAGACGCCCGTGCCCTGCTGCACCTCGCGCAGCGAAAAGATGTACGCCTGCGGGACGCTGAAGAGGAAGCTCACGAGCCAGCTGACGAGGATCATCATGTAGGACTGCGTCGACGACTGCTGGATCGTCCGCAGCGGGTGGCAGATGGCGATGTAGCGGTCCATGGCCATCATGATGAGCATGTAGGTGGAGGCGAACATGCCGAGGATCTGCAGGTACTTGACGGTGCGGCACAGTATGTCCGAGCCATTGAAGCGGAAGGTCACCTCCCAGATGAGCTGGGGCAGCACCTGCACAAACGTTCGAGAAGTTAATAATCGTAATGGTAATGAAGAGGAATGGCCCAAAGGTCACGGTCAAGACGACTGGGCGCAAGGGGTACATAATTGTCACGCGCAACGAGGCCACTCAACTATTGAAGACGCTTGATTTTAGGAGAGAACTCGCCCTGGTTGTGTTTGTGCCCAGGGCGGTTGTTGAAGGTGAACCAGGAAGACAGGGATTAAAGTAAAGATACTCTTTGGTTCTATTCAGTAAAGTCACTTTAAGTGTTCGATCAGCACTTTATGCTAATTCATTTGTCAAAGCGTTTGGTTTCCTCCCACACAGCTTAATGGACGCGACCTGGCTTGACTTTCTTGATTCCAACGCTGTCTTCGTGACAGCATGGTCCCTTCACCTGATGAAGGCCACTTGTGTTGTGGCCGAAACGTCGTGATTTTTGTTGTTTTATTTTTTTACCTACGTGACTTTACCGAATAGAACCAAAGAGTATGGATCCTTGCAGTCACGAAAGCTTCAAATCTAGAATTAAAGTAAAGATGTGGATGAGAGTGAATTGGAGGCTCTTTTGCTAAATTGGACTTAATACTGAATGAAAGCAGTACACCGCTATGCCTAAATAACATCAAAACAATTAGTTTTATTCTTAAAAGACAAAGGTGCAGGGCTGCAACTGACAGAATGGCTTTCACGAGGGAGATAACTCAATAGAGCCCTCTACGAGGAAGAGCGAGGGGCGCTACGGTCGCGAAATATTAACTACCTCGCCTGATATACAGCAGGTAGTGCGTTTGATCCCGAAACCTTGAAGGCTGTATATTTAGAGTTTGTATGTTCCGGTTTTTCCCGAGAATCAAAGTGCGTTCATAGTATTTGTCTGTTATTAATTTGCACACGATGATAAACCACTCATTTGCGCTATAACTGTTTAGCTCAGTGGGCCTTACTTGGTAAAATAAAAAATATATATTTGAGTTTAGTTTTAGAAGTTGCGGGGGGCAAAGAGACATGAGGCAGTGCAAGGCGCACACCAGCAGTCCCGTCGCACTGACCGCTGGGTAGGAGTGCCCACACTTTACCCCACCACACACGATCTACGATCTGTCGTGTACCCCTTTATACTGCTGTGTGCACAGAGGTGCCGTGGTGGCAAGATGTTGACTACCTCGCCTGGTATACAGGAGGTCGTGGGTTCGATCCCGACCCTGACGCCTGCTGCTGTATATTTGGAGTTTGCGTGTGTCTCTCTCCCCGTGGTCGCGTGGATTTTCTCTTGATTCGGACGTTTTTCCCTCTACATTTAGAATCAACATCACGCGTTTAGAGTATTTGGCTGCTAGAAATGTCCGTATGGTGATAAACCACTCTGCCGAGTGATAGCCAGGTTGCTTCTGAAAAAGAGCTATAAAGCTCAGTGGGCCTTACCTGGTAAAATATAAAAAAACATTTTAATTGTTTTAATAGTTTAGAGGTGGAGGTGGTGGGTTCGTATTCGAGAAACTTGCCCCCGCTGCCTCAACTGTCGAACCAGGAGATCAAATCGAACCCATGACCTTGGGATTGCACGTCCAGTGTGCTCACTGTTACACCACTGAGGCAGCGTTAGCCGTACTACCTCTCTATCTATGTGGGTCAGGAACATGGGCATCGGCAAAGAATATGAAATAAAAACTGAACATTGTATGTACGTATGTTGAAATTCTTTTGCACCGTACGTAGCCAACCGTGGTAATCGGAGGTGCGGGGGGAAGGAAACCAAACTACACACAAAAAGGCGTTATCAAGAAACGAGTTTTCAATCTAGATGATTCAAAAGTGCACAGCTTCAGCGGCTTCCTGATATATGGAAGGAAGAGCGTTCCAGACGGCCGCAGAAACGCATCTGAAAGCACCATGCGATACGGTGGCCATCTTTGTTTGATGGTGAGTCAAAATCCACCGCTGCAAGGATAAACGGAATTTTCATGATAGTCTGTACTCCTTGATACAATTTATTATTCACTGTCGTGGCCATGGGTGGACAATGCATGTGTATGTAGCCAACCGTGCTAATTGGAGGTGTGAAGGAAGAACAATAAATTAAACACCAAAAGCAGTTCACAAGAAATTTGTTTTCAACTTGGATAATGTAAAACTGCACAGCTCCAACGGCTTCCTAATATTAGCAAGCAAGAGCATTACAGACAGCCGCAGAAGCGCACTCGAAAGCGCTGCGCGATGCGGTGACCACCGTTTTTGTTCAAAAGCAAGCGAAGCGTGGTGAGAGAGTGAGAGAGAGAGAGAGGGGTAGTCGGGAATACGCCGGAGGGGGTGGCCGGCAGCACCTGGAAGAAGGCCACTACCAGGTCGGCGATGCTCAGGTGCATGATAAAAAGGTGCATCCGCGACGTCTTCTTCTTGGTGCTGAGCAGCGCCAGGAGCACGCAGGCATTGCCGACCACGGCCGCGCAGAGGATGATGGCGAGGATCGTGATCTCCACCTTGGCGAGATCTTCGTCGCGGCTCAGCGTCGACTCGGATGCATTCGCCGTGCCGTTGGCCATCCCTCCTGCAATGATGTCACGTGCGCGAGCGTTTTTATTGTTATTATGTACGGTTTTCCGTCATGTCTATCAAAACTCTACACCATAGAGCTCGTTGTATTTCCGACCATCATCACATAGCCAGTGAACTGGAACACGTGCACCAAGCCCTCAAGATCAATGGATATACAGACTGCACAATCCGTAAAGCTATCACCCCAAACATTGGGAAATAACCATCTGAGGACCCAATCAAAACCATCACCTTGCGATAAATAGCAGGGGTCACCAAAAAGATTTCCAAAATCATGAGCAAACACAAGATCCAGGATCGATTTAACACAGTACATAAAATATCGTGATCGTATCCCATCTGTGAAGGATGTGATCCCTGACATGCAATACCCCGGCGTTTACAAACTAAGCTGTGTCTGTGTCAGTAGTTACATTGGGGAAACTAAGCGACATGTCTCAGACCGTGTTCGTGAACATAAGGCAGATCTGAAACACGGTAGGACCAATACCTCGGCCGTGGCTGATCATTGTATTAATGCGGTGGACTCACACAAAATAGATTTTTCCAAGACGAAGGTACTTTGCAAGCCCACTGGCTATCAACAAAGATTTGTTCATGAAGCCATCCATATATACAGACACAGACACAATTTCAACCGAGAAGATGGGTACAAACTTACCAATCACTGGAAGGACGTTATCAACGAGTTTAAGTCATAACTGGCTGTGATGTTCCGATCCTGCCACCTTCCGATGTTAGTTGTTATTTTCTGCTCTCCGATTTTACATCAACAGGTAAAATTGATCACACCAACAGCCACCTCCGCTTGCCGACCTCGACGTGGCGGCGGCTCTGCGATCTTCCATTAACATCCTAATCTCTCACATTAACATAGCCACCTCAGCGCGCTCACTGTGGAGGCCGCTCACCGATCTTACACTAACATGCAAACTTTTTTACCTGGCAGACCTTTAATTGGTGCAAACCCACCACCTTCGCTGTTTTTGCCCATCACTTACATTAGCTGCCCCGCCCATGCTGCTGACATTTGGGCTACGTTAATTTTAAACCTTTAGAAACTGTTTGCGTTTAGAAGCTAACCCCCTTTTTCCTGATGACCACCGCTTGTGCTGCGATCGAAACGTCATAGTTTTTTTTTGTTATTTTCTTTGAACCTATCAACGTGACTTTACCGAAAGACCCAAAGAATATGAATTCCTGCAGTCACGAAAGCTTTAAATCACGACAATGTTTTTTTGGGTTAAATTGCGTAAATATAAATATATTGTTTCCCCACCACCATCCGACACAGCCAATTAGTAAGGTCTGTCACGTAAACAAAACGTGCCTATGACGTAGGCTCAAAGCGATGACATCACCTTACTCTATTTTAGACTAAAAACAGGAAGACTTTTTGGCAATTCTGGCAAAGCTGGTTGTAGTCACCAACGAAAACGTCGTACTCAGATTTTAAATGTTGTGGGTTCACTCTCCAACACACCAGGGTGCTGAACTAGTAACGGATTGGCATGTTTTACTTACGTGACAAACCTTTGCTAATTGGCCATGTCGGGTGGTGGCGGGTTTAGCGACATGTTCTTATTTACGCGATCTAACCCAAACACTTATGGATAATATTGTTAAACTCAAAATGTTGATGAAGGAGCCACCTGCACAATAGCATGTACCGTTCACCTGTCTTGTGGACGGCTAAGCTTGTAAAAGTCATTTGCAATTGTTATCGTGTGGTTACTCTGCTCTTCGAAATTTTAATTGGGAGAAATAATGCACAAATATAAACGGTTGAAATATATAGCAAAACACATTTGTCTTGACCACATTTTAATGGGCATTCACAACAGGAAAAGATAAAAAAACGAGCAATAGAGGCTTCACTAAGTCAGGGTTAGTAATTACGAACAAAATAAAAACAATAATGCACATCAATATCTGTTGGGGTGTCACGTTGGGGAAACGCGTGGGAGTATCTTTACCGCGGTGATGGAGGTGGACTCTATCAGCTTGGAGGTTTCTCATTAAACAACTGAATTTAATCATGAAACTCAATTAGCCCAGGATGCCTCATCAAGAACATTTTGCCATCAGTTTCTATATATATACAGTATTACTTGTTATGTCATGTGGATCAGAAACATGACCGTTGAGAAAAACATTAAAAACGACTGAAAAGTGCGTGAACAGACGCGGTGGAGAGGCGCTCGCTCGCTTATATTTCGAGGGGACGATGGTTGATGGCCGAGACCAAGAATGGAGCGGCAGCCCCCGGAGGGAATGCGCCGGAGACGACAACCACCACAGAGATGGAGCGATGAGATCAGCTGGCGTGCAGGGACGCGACGGAATGTTACACCGTGAGACCATGAGAGATGGCAGTGGCTTGGGGAGGCCTTCATCCAGCAGTGGATCGATCAGTGCTGATGATGATAACTGATGATCTACCTGCTTGCCTACCTGCTCACCTGCCTAACCACTTGCCTAAAGCGTACATCTGTACGGAGGTTTAACTAACTTTGAAAACGTACGCTCCTATGGAGCAGGAGTCCCGATAGATTTTATATTTGTTTTTGTCCAGAACTCGAACAACGACGCAATTAAGAGGGCTAATTTAATGTGACACGTTTCGTAAAGATAAGCAAACCCAGCGCTCTATACATTGGTGTTCTCTCCCCACCACAATCAAAATAATCTCTGGAATCAAATACGACGACGTCCTTGTCATGCAAACATTATTCCAGACCGCAATACGGTGCCTGTCTGGTGTGGTAATGCGCTACAAACCCAGTGACCCAAGTTCCATTCCTGCTCCTGGCGACCACCAGTGACGATTATGTGAACCGGTCCTGAGCCTCCCCCTGACTCGATTTAGCCTCAAATGAGCACCTTGTTGCGGAGTGTAAACATCGCAAACTAGGAAGACAAAGGCGGCCGGGAGTGGTGCTAAGCCACCCACCCCGTTATGTGCCGTGCCGGCCTTCATAGGTGCTGCTCGCGAACGGCACCTGCCTCAAAACTATGTTAAGGCTATACGGGGGATCTTTGTCTGGACACGTTCACGAGAAGGGTGTTTTTCAATGCATCGCACGATTGAACTGCTGAGCATTTCAGCACCAGGCTATGAAAGCGAACAAAAATAATTTCAAGTAAGGAAGAGCCAAACAAATAAAAGTCAACTTGACAGAGTACTCCTCATGTGCTTCGTAGCCAAGAATGAATGGCTATCGTTAAGGTCGTCCATTGTCGCTGCTTTGCCAATTGTACGCTACTAACTCAGATCTATATTTTGAGCGTACAAATTGGTACTATTAGTCAACATTGATTTTTGCTCTTAGGAAGCGTGTATGTATGCACAGTAGGTGTGCATGTTCATCATGAAATACTGTACTCCATTACTCATGTCAGCAATTTTCACGCTTCGCATTCATGTCCTGTGCGACCTTGAAAGTGTTCACTATGAATACGTGAAAGTTTGTTTGATATGTTGCTAAAAAGAACGCGAACTTAAGTGGAACTGTTAAAATGAATCGTAATTTAAGGAGGTCCATCCATTTCAATACAACTGGCCTGGTAAAGTAAGTTGGCTCCCTTTCAAACCCTCGTTGAGGGTAGACTCAGCCCATCAGCTTTACAGGGTTGATAAATTGACTACCATTTCGTGGTGACATAAACGCTGGTTGTCCCCTGGATAACTCGCCCCAGCCATAGGAACGTTGATTGTACACCACTGGCTCATGGCTGCAAGCGGACGATGAGGACGGTCTTAATGCTCACTTGAGCAATAAATCACTTTGACTATTGGTTTAATTATCACCTTTTATAAAACATTTCCGAGGCCTCGTCATTAAACATGAATATTTTCAGAAATTGTTTTCATCGCTTGAGTGAACTGTTCGGAAAGCCCTCATTCCTGTCTCTTTAATCGTCACATTGGATTGTTCAGTGCACATCTGTCGATTGTAAATAACGTCTGACCATGAGACATTTCAAGGATTGGTGCAAATGAAAAAGAACAAAACAGTGCTAAATCTAAATGCTAAATGTTTCACCTACTGACCAAAATCTTGTTTTCATCATCTCCAGTTTCAGACCTGGCCCTGATATCAACATGAGCCATACGCACATGATATATGCCCACCGTGGAATTGTCAAACTTTTGAATGTGATGCCTTCAACTAACCGACGGGATTAAAATGCGTGATGGCGGGGAGGAGGCCGCAATGGTGGGGAGGAGGCCGCAATGGTGGGGAGGAGGCCGCAATGGTGGGGAGGAGGCCGCGATGGTGGGGAGGAGGCCGTGATGGCGTGGAGGAGGCCGTGAAGGCGTGGAGGAGGCCGTGATGGCGGGAAGGAGGCCGCGATGGTGGGGAGGAGGCCGCGATGGAGGGGAGGAGACCGCGATGGCATGGAGGAGGCCACGATGGCATGGAGGAGGCCGCGATGGCGTGGAGGAGGCCGTGATGGCGTGGAGGAGGCCACGATGGCATGGAGGAGGCCGTGATGGTGGGGAAGAGGCCATGATGGTGGGGAGGAGGCCACGATGGCGTGGAGGAGGCCGTGATGGTGGGGAGGAGGCCATGATGGCGGGGAGGAGGCCGTGATGGCGGGGAGGAGGCCGTCATGGCGGGGAGGAGGCCATGATGGCGGGGAGGAGGCCGTCATGGCGGGGAGGAGGCCGCGATGGCGGGGAGGAGGCCGCGATGGCGGGGAGAAGGCCGCGATGGCATGGAGGAGGCCGCGATGGCATGGAGGAGGCCGCGATGGCATGGAGTAGGCCGCGATGGCGGGGAGAAGGCCGTGATGGGATGGAGGAGGCCGCGATGGCATGGAGGAGGCCGCGATGGCATGGAGGAGGCCGCGATGGCGTGGAGGAGGCCGCGATGGCGTGGAGGAGGCCGCGATGGCGTGGAGGAGGCCGTGATGGCGTGGAGGAGGCCGTGATGGCGTGGAGGAGGCCGCGATGGCGTGGAGGAGGCCGCGATGGCGTGGAGGAGGCCGTGATGGCGGGGAGGAGGCCGTGATGGCGGGGAGGAGGCCGCGATGGCAGGGAGGAGGCCGCGATGGGATGGAGGAGGCCGCGATGGCGTGGAGGAGGCCGTGATGGCAGGGAGGAGGCCGCAATGGCGTGGAGGAGGCCGTGATGGCGTGGAGGAGGCCGTGATGGTGGGGAGGAGGTCGCGATGGCGGGGAGGAGGCCGTGATGGCGTGGAGGAGGCCGTGATGGTGGGGAGGAGGTCGCGATGGCGGGGAGGAGGCCGTGATACACTCACTCATCTCATACTTACTCACTCACACATTATACACTGACTCACTCATCATACACTGACTCACTCATCATACGCTGACTCACTCACACACCATACACTCACACAACCACTGACCCATTCACTCATCACAATGATTCACTCATCATACACTCACTCATAATACGCTGACTCACACATCATACACTCACTACCATTGACTCACTCACACATCATACACGGGGAGTGTCATGCTGACAGATATGGCTGCAAGTTTGTTCGTACAGTACATGTTATGTATATCGTTTATTGTTAAATGTTTGCACACAGCGTTGTAATACGGTGGGGGTTTTTTTTCACGGAAGATTTGCTGGTTTATCCAGGATGCTTCTGTTGCGCGTCGTCGCTTTAAGATGTTTCTCTGTTCATGTTTAGTTTGTTGCGGTTGCACCCGACTTAAGAGCCGCATGGCTCACAGGGCTATACCTAATGAATGAAACTTTAAAAAAAACTTGAAACAACCGCGTTAAAGTCGACCACCGGCGTACCCATGCTCTGATTTGTATATGAAACACACGGGAGCTGCTTGGGGTTTTGCGCAACTTTTCCCAGCACACAATCCTCGCAATATCCGAGCTAACCTCGGGTGCGCGCATTCCAACAAAGTCATTCCCTGACCGCACGCAAACAAAAAAATGAGCGAAACGACCTCGGGGCAATCGCCACTCTGCGTCTCCCACCCGACCGCTATCGACGCCCTTTCCTCGCTCCGTCGCACGCGGTCTGAGAAAGAGACAGAAAGAAATAAAGACGCTTACCTTCGCTTCAAATCCGCTTAAGCGTGGGACGCAGCCGAGTATTCAGCACTCATGGCCGAGGTGGGGTGGGGGGGGGGGGGAGTGCTTCCCGCTAACACAAACACAGCTCCCGCAGTACCCGGGGGTATCGACGCGTCCCAAACTCTTGTGAGCTCGCACGGCTCCTCTCTTTCTCTCTTTCTCTCTCTCTCGTGTGAGTTTTCCTCCGCCGGGATCCCGATCGTCGCCTTTCGTACGCGACAGCAGCCCCCGAACCAAATCTCCCAACCAACACCACCACCACCCACTCTCAACCTCGAGCCACGGACGGACGAGTCGTGGCTCCAGCCAAGAGGAGGGGGTTTCTTTTGGACGGCGCGTGCCGGGAGACGCAGTTGCGCTGTGACGCACGCCAACAGCAGCGGCTGTGCTCCGTGCGATAGTGGAGACGGGGGCAGGCAGGCGGGCGGGCGGGCGGGGGTGGGTGGGTTTTAAGAGACACCGATGTTCCGTTAACACCGACTCGCAACAGTTTTGCCCAGGGCCCACCCCAACCCCGACCACCCCACAGGAATAAACAAGCCGTTGGTCGCTGCGTGAGGGCTCTTCATTTTGTGACACTGAAGACGTTCTCAAAACAGATCCTGCTTGCGCGGGGCGCTGCAAAGCGGCACAGCTTCGCCCACGATTTTGGGAGAATTTTTTTTTTTGCAGCATGCAGCGATGTTTCCAGAGGGATGCGCTGCTGATTTTTTTTTCACGAGGATATTTTTTACGGGGATAACCTGTGAATGTGAACAAACAATTATTCATAATAGAGGTTTTTGGGTTAGATCGCGTAAATATATGAATGTGTCGTGAAAACCCGCCACCACCCGACACAGCCAACTAGTAAGGGTTGTCACATAAGCATCGGTATGCTGTACTCGTCACGAGTACAGCACACCGATGTGTTGGAGAGCCAAGCCACAACATTTTTCAAACTGAGTACGACGTTTCGCCAGTAATTGCAACTGGTTTCATTAGGCGACAGCCAGATTTGTGGAGAAGTCTTACTGTTTCGTTCCTTATATAGAGGCGTCGATGTGTTGACAATTATTATTATGATAACGGCACGTTCCCAAAATGTCACTTGCAAAGAGGTACGATCCACGGGCATTCAGTTTATGTTGGCTCACGAGCAACCGAGTTCCTGAAACGATGTACCACAGTTGTGAAAGCTCCGCGTTTAAGTGGACGTCGTTCATTATCCACCGACGAAATTGACGGCCACATCAAAGCCAAGGCTCTTGATTGCTTTCATGTACAAAATAAGTGGCAATAGTGTTATCGTAGTCGCATTCTTAAGACACGCTACCTTCATTCCACCTGCAGACATATCAAAGTGCTCACATCTGGATTGTAACCAAATCCAGATGATGCTGCTGCTGCTACCAAAAAAAAAATCTTAAACCCACGGAAGTCAATTCATCATGGTCGCGAACAAATAAAGAAAAACATTCCACGGAAGTTAATTTCAACTGAGAAAATCTCTTTTGCATTTCAAACACGCGACGCAAGCATCGATGGGATCCGGTGACTGCTTTTCATAACATTTCATAACATCTGGGGAATAGTTTCATTTTGTAATTGTTAATTATCCACATTTCACGTGAGATCATAACAGTTGATATAAACCGACATGGTATCCTGTGTCGTCGAAGAGTGATTCAAATGGTTCATCGTCTGTGGCATATTTCTGTGCAACTCTTGATATCACCCATCACCACCACCACCACCTCAACCCATTCAATAACAAATGTTTCCCATCTACAGATATGGAATCCATGAATAGATAAAGGCATTTTGACTCAAAGCTTACGTGACTGCAGGAATTCATATTCTTTGGGTCTTTCGGTAAAGTCATGTAGATAGGTTCAAAGAAAATAACAAAAAACTTCGACGTTTCGACCACAACACAAGCGATCGTCATCAGGAGGAAAGAGGAGGAAAAAAAGCTTTCCTCCTCAAAGAAGATAAAGGCATTTGAATCACTACCTATGAGATCTTCACTCAAAACTGCTCTAGAGGAGTTGTACACCACTAGCTGCCACTGCTATTCAGTGGCCTAAAATATGGCTTTAGATTTTGTTATTATAATTTTTTACGTAGTTTATTGTTAAAAATTCGGTCACAGTCCCTATGTTCACTGTTACATTGCATTTATGGCTTTTATTTTGGTGATTTCGAAAACGTTTTTTTGTTTTGGCCATGTTTTTGTTTATTGTAATACGGAGTTAGACTGATGGCCTTAATCTTAGTTGTCTTGTGGTTGTTGTTATTTGACTTGCATCCCACTGGGATTTTTGCACACAGCGTTGGTGTACGGTGCTATTTCAGGAATATTTTGATTGTTTTTTTTCCTGGATTTTCTGTTTGCACAGTCACATAATCACTTTAAGATGTTTTCTTGTTCATGTTTTTTGTTTGTTGAGGTTGCACCCGATTCAAGAGCCGAATGGCTCACAGGGCTATACCAAATAAATCAACTATGAAACTATAAAACCGGGTGAAACCAATTGACTCAGTGTCCTTTATTTAAACAAGTGAGGGCCCAGTGAAATCCATGACCTCTTCGCAAAATAAAATCTAGAAAACCGTAGCCACATAGATACATTTATTATTAATATTTTACTGTTCAGCTCCAAGTATATATATATTTATTAAGTGGGCTAGAGTATGGCACGCCGCTTGCAAGGAATTATGGCCAGTGGTCGAGACGAATGGCTGAGTGGGAGCCAAGGTGGAGAACTCGAAGGAGGTATACATGCGGGATCTTTTTTTTTTTCCACCGCGGAGATTGAGCAATACAATCAGATCTTGTGCAGGAACCAGACGGAGTTTGGCCATGGTAAATTTCATTTTACCTATTTTGTCTTACTAGGCAAGGCCCATTGAGCTATATTGCTCTTTTTCAAAATCGACCTTAGCACAAATGATAACGCAACGACGTGACTTATCACATGGAAATTTATAGTGGCCAAATACTCTAAACCAGGGGTGTCCAAACTATTTTTCCCGAGGGCCACATGCAGACAAATAAACGAAGGACTGAGCCACTCACTAGACGTGAGGAATACTGCCTTACTTCTCATGCACTAATATTGGCAAAATCAATCAAATGCAGGTAAATTACGTTTGATTATTGAACATGTTTGAAGAAAAAAAGCCTCCATCATAGCTCTCCATTAGTAGATTTTCATTTTATGTTTTACAAAAAGGTTGGCAGATCATTCTCTCAGTGACAGCCTCAGATTGGTTCTTAGGGTGCTGATCGCCCTTGATTTTCCTGTATGAAGGGAGAGACAAGAAGAGAACTAGGGAATGTGGATATTTCAAGCTTATTACACATATAAATTATTGGGCTTGTTAACACATCAACTAACGTTTGTTAAAAATTTGTCATCAACTTTAATTGACTGAATTTATTAAGTAATTGGGCTTATTGACAAATGAAAACTGTGTGTATATTTTTAACACAACTGTCATGGGAAGAATGTTGCGCTCAGTGGGAGCAGTGATGCTGCGCTTTGTTCTGAAGGATAGCTGGCAGGTCAGGAGTAAGTTTGGTGGTTGAGATGCGAAGGACGTCACGGAGATGGCTGTCGGTCGTTCTGGTTCTCAGCCTGCTTTTGTTCAGCGTTAACAGAGAGAATGTCTGCTCACAGATGTATATGTTGAGCCGAACAGACTCATCATTCGTTTTGCGTGGCGTCTCATCAGAGGAAACTTGGCCTTTTCCAAGCTCCGGTAGAAGTCAGGTAGGGAGAGAAGCTGATGCTGATTCTTCAGAGAATCATCACACTGAATTTCGATCAGTTCTAATTGCAGACTCTCCTCCACTTATTTTGCATCCATTGAATACGGAGCCGCAAACAGTGTGATTTCCTTCTCAATGACAGAAACATCTTGGAAGCACTGACTGAATTCTGTCATGAGAGATGTAATCACAGACACATATTCTCCCATTTTTGCAGAGAGCTTGGCATTTGGAAATGCGCATTTGATTTCGATCAGCGTGAGGAAGTGCGCTACATTGAAGTTGCGCAGTTGTGACTCGAAGAGACGGAGCTTCGCACGGAATGCTTTCATGTGCACATACAGCTGTGGTACCAGCTGCTCTTTGCCTTGTAGTCTCTTGTTCAGGGTGTTGAGATGATCAGTGAGATCAACTAAAAAAGCCAGGTCTGCCAACCATAAAGGGTCACTGATCTCATGGAGAGGTCTACCCTTTTCTTTCAAAAACTTGGCGATATTTGATCTCAGGGAATAAAACCGCTGCAGCACGGAGCCGCGACTGAGCCAGCGAACTTTAGAATGGTAGAGTAGGTCCCCGGTATCAGCATCGACATCAGAGAGGAACGGTTGAAATTCTTTGTGGTAAAGCCCTCGGGCCCGAATTATGTTGACAGTTTTCACAACTGTGTTCATTACATCGCCAAGCTGGATTATCTTGGCACAGAGGGCTTCTTGGTGGATGACACAGTGCATTTTGACAGCCTCACCTCCGCTCTCCCGCACCTTGGCACTCACCATAGAGGCCGTTCCTTTGCGCTCGCCTGTCATTGCTGGAGCCCCATCCGTTGTAATTCCACACAGCTTGTCCCATTTAAGTTCAGCCTGCTCAATTGCATCTGACACAGCTTCAAAACATTTCCTTCCCAGTTGTTGTCCCCTTTAGACTCCGAAGATCAAGCAGTTCCTCCGTAATGCAAAAATTCTCATCAACTCCCCGCAAAAAAATTAACAGCTGTGCAGTGTCCGTGGCATCTGTGCTCTCATCACATGCACTCGACTAAAAATCGAAAGCACAAGCATTATCTGACACTTGCTGTTTTAAGTTAGCCGACAAGTCTTCAATTCGCCACACAACCGTATTTCTGGACATACTAACTTCGTTGAAATCCTGCATTTTCTCCGGGCACATTATTCCCACTGTTTGATGAAGTCACCGTCTGAGAATGGTTTCCCGTGTAGGGCAATGAGTCGAGCTACTTCATAACTGGCTATTGTTGCATTTTCTTGAGCTTTGTTAGCACGGAAAAAAAAAACCTGCTGCAGCGTTAGCAGGCTAGCTTGCCATTTGCTTTACCTTCTCTCTCCGCTCAGCGCCAGTGTAGGACGTGATGGTCTGATGTTTCGTTTCATGATGCCGTCGTACATTGTACTATTTCACTCTCATTACAAATCAAACAAACACACTTCCCCTTGGTTTCTATTAAAAAAATATTAATTTTTCCACCGAGTCTGAAATTTTCTGCACTCGTTTGCAATCTTGCGTCTCTTCGGTTCCGGCATTTCTGGTGACCCTGAGCAATTTTTTAATTCGATTGCTTGCTTTGTTGAGACCCTGCCTTGTTCAAGACAATCGCGCCACCTAGTTTTTAAACTAAGAAGTGCAATACAGTGGGCCATAGTCCATTATATTTTTAGACTTTGATACAGGCCAATTAAAAATGAATGGCGGGCCGCAGTTGGCCCGCGGGTCGTAGTTTGGACACCCCTGCAGTCTAAACGTATGTTGATTCTAAATGTGGAGGGAAAAACTGTAGGACCCGGAGAAGAATCCACGCTACCATGGGGAGAACACACAAACTCCAAACATACAGATGACAGGACAGGGATGGTGATGGCTTGGGGA